TAGATAGATAGATAGATAGATAGATAGATAGATAGATAGATAGATAGATAGATAGATAGATAGATAGATAGATAGATAGATAGATAGATAGATAGATAGATAGATAGATAGATAGATAGATGGGTTTGGGTGGGAATGGCTTTCTTCTGGACTTCTAGGATCTCACCTGTCCCCTGATGTCTCTTTGTGCATCTGTGACATCCTTGCTGGTGTTATTCCCACTGCCCCTCTACAAATATCTTTGTTGACTTCAACACACTCTTTCTGTTTCCTTTGGTGGCACAACTACTTGAACCCATTCACCCATCCACAGGTCCCAGCACTGCACTGTTACTCTGCATTTAAATTGTATTACTATTGTCATTGCTATGCATTTTCCAAGAAAAATGCCAGTCTTATGGAAGTTAAGACTCAGGACAAAATCCAGAGAAGGGTTTTTGTCAGTCCTCATTTCATATTCTGTTGTGGGGAGAACTGGCTGAATAGGTAATGATCCCTTCTTAGAACATGGCAGGGTTTTAGCCTGTCAGAAAGAGGCAGTTTTTCTTTCTTTCTTTCTTTCTTTCTTTCTTTCTTTCTTTCTTTCTTTCTTTCTTTCTTTCTTTCTTTCTTTCTTTCTTTCTTTCTTTCTTTCTTTCTTTCTTTCTTTCACTGCAGAGTGAAATATTGCCAGCGGTGGTCACCACTGACAAAGAAGGGAGGGAGGGAACATTCTCTGCATGATGAAAGCACAGCATGTAGCGAGAGGCATAATCATATCTGCATAAGGAATGGAAGTTTGACTGAATATGTTGATGGGTCAGAGGGTTCCTTCCTTCCTTCCTTCCTTCCTTCCTTCTTATATTTTGACTCTTCCTTTTTCCCTAAAAAAGACCCAAAGCATCTTACATCAGTAACAGACAATATTTTAAAGCTAACGCCAGCAAAAACACAAATATTAAAAAATTGCTAACAATTGTAAACAAAATCAACACAAAAACATTCTAAACAGCAAGGCACAACATTCAATTTAAACTATCTTTCAGATAGCTAGTCATTAAGGGAAAGCCTGCCTGAAGAGAAAGGTCTTGGCCTGCTTGTGGAAGGGCAGCAAAGATGGGGCCAGCCTGGCCTCCAGTGGGAGGGAGTTCCAAAGTCTGGATGGAGTCTCCCTTTCCCCCCATGAAACATACTGTGAAGGTGGTGGGACCCAGAGAACGGCCTCCCCCGGTGATCTTAACACTGGGGCTGGTTCATAAAAGGAGCCGTGGTCCTTGAGATAGCCTGGCCTCAAGCTGTTTAGGACTATATAAGTTTAAAAATAGCACTTTGAAATGTACCTGGCAATGGATCAGCAGACAGTGGAATTGCTGTAACAGGGAACCTCTGTGTTTCCTGTAACCAGCCCTAGTTAACAAGCTGCAGGGTATTGGACCTGCTGAAGTTTCTGAACACTTTCCAAAGGCAGCCCCACGTACAGCATGTTACCACAATCCAGTTGTTGGGTGTTTGCCAGTATCCTAGAACTGCCCAGAGGCCCTGTTAGGACTACCATGTTCTGTTTCACAGAATCCATGGAAGGCCAGCATGAGAAGATTTACGTACATGCCCCAGTTCTTCTAGGGTCAAGAACCTGCAGGCTCAAGTCCCTTTCTCCCTAAAAGCCTATAGCCCTCCAGATGTTGTCGGTCTCTGACTCACTCACTCCCCTGCTGTCAAGATATGATGGACGCAGGGTCCAGCAACATTTGGAAAGGCACAGATTTTCCCTAACCTTCTCTGTAAAGATTAAAAAATCGCACGTCTAGATTCTGTGTGCACTGGATACAAAGGTTTCCTTCAGCAAGTATGCAACCAACCTCTTCCCCGACTATATTATTTCCTCTACTTGATTACAGTACTGGATTACTGTTCGTTTCGTTTAGTCGTGTCCGACTCTTCGTGATCCCATGGACCAGAGCATCCCAGGCCCTCCTGTCTGGATTACTGTAACATGTGTTAAATGGGGCAGAATTTTGGTTCAACCACAAAGGTTTGCAAATGTCTGAAGGAGACCTCACTGTTGCAATTTATTACCACTTATGAAAATGGCCAACATGGGCTTTTATATGAAAATGGGACCACGACACTCACTTGTATCTTCTAGTCGTCTGGAAGTGTGTGAAAAAAGCTCCTTTTTCCTTTGTCTTCACCTCCCCAAGAAAATCCCAAGTTTCAGTAGGGCAGAAAGCTGCTGTGTCTCCACGCAGATACTAAGGTTCCCTCTGTGCAACATACCAAGGCTAGTTAACACAAGCAAACATTAACAGGAATCAACCTTCTTTACGTAATCTCCCACACAAGGATCTTTAATAACACTACTCCACTAAGTTACAGAAGTGATTGTGTGTACGTGTTCTGTGCCATTCAGTTGGAACCGACTCATAGTAACTTTAATAGGGGTTTCAAGGTAAGTGAGATATTTAAGGATTGGCGATGCGGGTTAAACCGCAGAAGCCTCTGTGTTATAAGGTCTGTAGATCTTCAGCTGTAAGATCGAATCCACGTGACGGAGTGAGCAGCTCCCGCCAACCTAGCAGGCTCGAAAGCATGCAAATGCGAATAGATAAATAGGGACCACCTCGGTGGGAAGGTAACAGCGTTCTGTGTCTAAGTCACACTGGCCACGTGACCACGGAAGATTGTCTTTGGACAAAACGCTGGCTCTATGGCTTGGAAACGGGGATGAGCACCGCCCCCTAGAGTTGAACACGAGTGGACAAAAATTGTCAAGGGGAACCTTTACCTTTTTACCAGTGTCTATCCCCTTCCCCCCATGGGTTTCCACGGCTGACCTCTGGATTGAACCTAAGACCCCTGAGTCTTAATCCATCCTCTACATCACATTGGGTGGTCATGACCACAAAGGATTAAAAACAAAAAGAAAAAACAACTGTTCCTGCTCCTGTACTTTATACATGACATTTTCCCAAGCGCTGGAACTCAAAGGCTGAATCGAACAACCTGCCAATAAACTGAAGGACCTGTCAGGATGTTATTCCCAGCTTTCCTGTTCTCAGACATCTCTTCACACTTAGCTCACTGCCAGGAAATCCTGGCAAAGAGCCATCCACCCAAGCACCCAGCCAGCCACACCTCTGTACCTTGTTCAGCAGGTTTAAGAGAGGCCCTGATTACATTGGCACAGAAGCACGCCGAGGATTTCAGTTTTCACGCACAGAGAAAATACGACTCTCCACCAGGGCTTTGGAAAGGTACCTTTTGGGACTACAGTTCCAAGAATCCCCCACTGCTTATATTGGCTGGAGGACTCTGGGTGCTGTAATCCAAAAAGGGGTAGCTTTTCCATGTTCTGTCTTATAACATGCATCGGAATGGCATGCAGCTTTCAGATTTCTTAGGCTCCAGTTTCCACAATCCTCAGCCATTCGTCATTCTGATGACATGGATGGGCTTTGTAGTAAAAAAAAACACACACCAGGTTGGCATAAAGCGAAGGAATCTCCTATACAGGATGTCCTACCCCAAAGCATGGAGAGGGCCATAGGTGGCTTTAAAAGGAGGATGAAAAGAACGAAGGATGGATAGTACTGTAAAACCAACAACTGTTATTTGTGATGGGTAAATGAAACCTCCCTATTGAAATCCACGATGCTGAAAGAGAAAAGGAGAGCCATTGATGTCATTCCCTGATAGAGATGCTGGGCTACCTGGGTCTTTGGTAGGCTGCAGCAGGGATCTTCCCATGAGCTCCTCCTAACCCTCAAGTAATGCAAAGGGGGAAGGGACATCCTCAGTCAAGCCAGAGCTTAGGAGAACTACATTTATGGGCTACAAGAGGGACCAGACAGGCTGGGGGATACCAGAAGTCGTAGAGTCATTTTTCTCATGCTCTGAGACACAAACAGTGTCTTAAAACTTACTGACACAACAGGACAGTGTCATTGGGGCTACATGGTCACGGGCTTGAGACATTCGTTCTGTGCCCTCAAAACCACTTTTTATAGAGGAAACACAGCAGACGCAACTTCTCACCTCTCTGTCCTTTCCCCAATCCAGTCATCTGACCTCTTCTCCAACCATTGTGGGGAATGTTTGGCAACAGGGTTTGGAAACAGGAAGTGAAGTGAGGTTGCCATAGACTCCATTAGCAACTCATGGTGGGATCTCAGCCTAGATAAGACTCAAAGACGACCTTGATCAGCTGACCCATGGTCATCTACAACCAGATTTGGCCCACAGTCTTCTGGCTGCCGACCACTAGTTTTCACTAAGGAAATATTCTTGCCCATAGATGTCAGCTGAATGAAACCGACTTCCCCAACTGACAGGCTGGTTTTGTAAACCCATTTACATAATTGCATCAGGCTTGCGGCTCTAACAACTTCAAGGAACTTCCAGTCTTCCAAAGACTTTCCTCCTCGAGACAAACATTGTAAAAGAACTCTGAAACATGGAGGATGCAGACGGATATATGAGTATTGACCCAAAGAAGAGGGAATTGTATATAGCACCACCTCCCAAAGAGACCAAAGGTATGGACTTAAAATTATCTCATTTGTTGTCATCTTTTTTTTCTTTCTCTTTTTTTCTTTTTAGCAAGTAGGGCAATTGCAGTCACTTAAAAGGAAGAAAAGATTTCCAACAAAATCCAAGCCGAAACACAAACCAACTTGGACACATGGTTTAGAGAAGAAGCTTGACTTTTTGATCAACTTTATCAATAGGACTTTTTTTTTTTGCTTAAAGAAATCTACAGAAAATCAGAAGTGTTTCACATTTGAGGAGGGGAGGGAGGGAAAAAGGTCTCTGAGGCGAGCCTGCCTTCTTCACACACCTCCAATCCAGCCCACAATAAGCAGACAAAGGCCTTCCTCTGGCTTTTTCTCAGTAAATGACTGCCTAAGAAGGGAGCACCTAAAATTGGGCAGCTGTTTTTGTTGTTGTTGTGTTTTAAGTTTCTAGTATTGTTTAAAGTTTTTAGTATTGTTTGTTTTAATCTTCTAATTTGCCTTGGATCCTACTGAAAAGAAAGATGGGGTATAATTATTGGAAATAAATAAATGCACCAGGAGTCCTCTCTCTTGTTCCCACCCCTTATTTTTGGATATTTGTTATACTGAAGTTGTAAAAACATAAGATACATATAGACACCAGCTAGGGAATGGTAGCTATGGCTGCCTAGGCTTTAAGGTCACCTTGCACATAAGACACCCTGACTTGTTATTTAGCTCATGCTGACATTTGTAACCCCAGATGCCGAACCCAAGAAATTCCCCTCTCAGCCTCTCAGATAGAATTCTTTTAAAAATGAATTTGGGAATGTAGGAGACAGGTTAATACATGATCCCAAAACAAGGCAAACATTCCTCCTACGTTATCTGAAGTTTCCCTGAAAAAAGTTTCCCTGAAAAGGAAACTTTTCTTTCTTTCTTTCTTTCTTTCTTTCTTTCTTTCTTTCTTTCTTTCTTTTAGTTTTAACAATTCAGGTGGGCTGCTGGTGGACCCCTGAAGGGCAGGCTGCACTTTGGCCACCTCAACTGTAATCCCAATTCAACCCAAATGATTTGTGCCTAAATTCCAGAGAATGTAGTGGGATTAACTTGCTTCCCTCATTCCAAGGAAGAATTGAAACCAGCCGAATTTAAACTGCCTGAGTGACAGGCTGCATAAATGTGTGGAGCAAAAGCTTTTGATCATATGGTTCCTATATGTTTGGCAACTAAAGGAAACACCTAATTTACATCTCATGGGTTCTCTCTCATGACAGCACATGCCTATCCTGTTGTCTTTTAGAGAAATGGGCAATGACCAAGTTCAAAAGGATTGTTGTCTGTAGCTGAGGATCAGACTAGATGTTCAGGAGAATGCATATTCCTTAAGATTTTCCTGACTTCCCTACCGCACCAAGAGAATTTCCTTAGACACAAGTGTCTCATCAATCAGACTTGTAGATTAAGCCCATATTTACCTCCCAATGACCAATCACAAAACAAAGTGTGATGAATTCAAAATGTTTAGATTGAAAAAAGGGGGGGGAATGGAAATCATCTGCCACCTGGAGATCTCACCTACAGAATGAGAGAGCCACATCATCCACTGTGAATTAAAGTAATACGACTCAGTATTTCAGCAACCTCAGTAAGAAACACAGTCACACATGCACACCCAGCGGGTAATTGGGAGGGCCAGGGGAAAAATAAAGCTGAACATCACCCATAACTTCAAATTCCATAGATTCCTGCTTGAATTCTCTCTGGTGGAAAATTGGTTTTGGCATTTCGCTGGCAGGAAACGTTGCTCTGGCCTTCGTTCTCATCTTTGTGTCATTCTCCTCTCCAGGTAAGATATTTCCACTTCATACCTTCCCCGCTTTTTAAAAAAGCTTCCCATAAGATCAGAGTTTGGTTATAGTATTTAGCTGCAATTAAATTCTTGAATAGGAACAACATATTTTCCCTTTGCTTCTCCTGGAAGGATAATGAACAGTTTACTTCAGTGTTTGAACATCCATGGCCAAATCCAGTGTCTAGTTAGTGGCTGTCTGCTACCATCTGGGACAAAACTTCTTTCTTCTCTTAGTCCTCTGTTTCCTCAAAATCTGCTCTGATGAGTTTTGGCAGAGTTGGTGTGAGGAAACTGAGTGCTTGCTTAAGTAAAATAAATAATAAACATGCTTTTATTATGCTCACACATCTTCTTATAAAAAAACAAACAACATATTTTGTGGAAATGTTAACTTGTTACATTAGTGAGCTTAACTGCTTAATTAGATTCATTATTAACTATCTGACAGAACACTTCATTCTCACTTTTGACTCCATATCTCACACACTGACAGAACACTAGCCCTGAGTGTTCATTCATTCATTCAATTTCTATACTGCCCATCGGGCTACAAGGCCACCCTGGGCAGTTCACAACATGAAAAAACAACAAATAATTTTTAAAAATTCACGATAGCAATTTTAAAAAAAACCCAAATTAAACATACCATCAACTTTAAGAAAAAGACAGCATGAAGACAATCAATAAAGACAAGGTATAAGAACGTATAACTTAAGTGCTGACAGCTCCTCTGTGTTCTGGCGATGTAATATCCCAGAAAGCATGTCTAAACAGGCTATAAGAATATTTTAGCGATATTTGGGAGTTTTCATGGATTATGTATTCATAAAATGGAATGGCCGTGTACCTCTGAAAGAATTGATTCAGTTTTGCAGGGAAATGAGGTATCATAATTGGAAACTGATTTTACATGTCTATGAACTGTCCTGGTGTAGTTTACATTGTTTTCCTTATTAAGTTTTTTTCATCTTCCATTTTGTATTTTTTTTGTATTCTTAGATATTTTCTTTGATTTTTCTTTTTCTTTCTTGATTTAAAAAAAGGTAAGGGGGAAAAAGAGAAAAAAGGATTATATGATGGGATATTATTTATACTCAGCTTGGTGTAGTAGATATAGTGACAGACTAGGACTCAGGAGATCTTGATTCAAATCCCCGCCTGGCTATAGAAATTCCATGAAGGGATGTGTGGAATGAGTAGAACCATTCCTTAAATATCTCACTGAGTGTCTTTCCATGGGAGTTTAGCCTAGGTTCCCAACCTTTGTTACTCAGATGTTTTTGAACTGCAACTCCCAGAAACCCCAGCCAGCACAGTTGGTGGTGACGGCTTCTGAGAGTTGCAGTCCACAACTCCTGAGTAAGCCAAGGTTGAGAACGAGTGGTTTAGAGCATAGTTTAGTCCACTTCAGGGATGAGCTGGTTCACTTTTAAAGCTGATGATCAGACAAGATATTTGCAGGAGCAAACCAACTCACTTCCAGAGCATTCCTGCCCACACTTTTCTGGCCCCTGTCAGGTAGTGCAGGTAGAAGAATTGCTCTGGTTTGTTTTGTTCCCAGTGTGTGTACTCACTGGATAGGAACCAAACTGAGCCTTCCTCTTTGAATGTCCCATATCATGAAATGGCTTAAGAAGACAGCCTCTCCAGAATCCTGGCAATCTGAAACTTCCTCAGTTCTGAGAAAAGGCTGAGGAAGTGGCAGAGAGGAGTGTATGTGTATTAGGGCATTGCATTACTTTTTTTAAAAAAAAGACAAATGGAAAACTTCCTTCAGGAAGCGAGAGGACACAGGAGAGGACAATGAGCTTAATTTTTGTTTGCTTTTCTCTTAAAAGAACCTGTTTGCAGCCAAATTGGGCATGTTTTCAGGTGAATCTCCAAGAAAAGGTAAATAAAAATCCCACCCCCGTTACCCCTCCTGTTTCCTCTTGCTTCCACAGGAGGAAGTTCTACATTTGTTTTTTGTTTTCTTAATACAGTGGTGCCTCGCTTAGCGATCACTCCGTGCAGTGACGAAATCGCTTAGCAATGGATTTTTTGCCATCGCCAGAGCGAATGCTTAACAATGGCCCCTATGGGTAAAAATCGCTTTGCGATGATCGCGGGGACGTGATCATGGCAAAGCGCCCATTTTTTAACAGCTCATCGGCGGTTCCAAAATGGCCACCGGAAAAACAAAATGGCAACTGCTGTTTTGCCTCGCTTTAGAGGCACCCAAAATGGCCGCCGCTATGGAGGATTTTCGCTTACAGGTAAGTTTTTAGCCCATAGGAACGCATTAAACACGTTTTAATGTGTTCCTATGGGCTTTTAAAAATCGCTCAGCGATTAAATCGTTTAGCAACTTTTTTTCCTGCACGGATTAACGTCGCTAAATGAGGCACCACTGTAAGTGATGCAATGTATCTATGCTGCTCTAATACACAATCTAATACACCCCTCCGCACAAACAATGGAGCCAAGGAAGCATTTCATTTGCCAATACCCTGATGCGGCTCTCTTCTTAAGCTCCTTCACAATATTTACAAATTGACAGCTGGCTAGTTCAAACCAAATAGGATCGCTTGAGATCCATATGTCATTTGAACGCAATGAATGCACCAAATAGTGTACTGGACCTCCTAGTGACCTTGTTTGGTCCAATCAAGCCCCCTCCAAAGAGATTGTGCAGACAAGTCTTTACCTTGAAAGTCCTATTAGGGTCAACTAAAAGTCAGTGGCAACTTGACAGTGTATAAAACATTACTGAATTCTACCTCATGTTGAAGTAAGTTCAACAATGGTTGTTGTGGGGTTTTCAGGCTCTTTGGCCGTGTTCTGAAGGTTGTTCTTCCTAACGTTTGGCCAGTCTTTGTGGCCATGGGCATCTTCAGAGGACAGGAGGAGCACAGAACTATTTCCCTCTTAACCAATTCGATTGTGAAAGCCTTCACAAATACATTAAGTTCAACAATTTTGGTCAAATGTGATATCTTACCTTATTTACATTTTTTTAACCATTGTGATGAAATAGGCTAATTCTGAAGAAGCTGTAAGATCCAATCCAAACATGTTCTGGTAGAAGATCAGAGTACTGTACTGGTAAGAACTGATTCTCCCCCCTTCCCAGTGATATTTATAGGGATTTTGTTTCTTAGGGAAAATAATTTGCAGTAACAGGAACAAAGTCTCCAAACTCCATCTGTAATGAGCTGTCTAATTATTATTGTTCTAAACAGGATCAAGTTATAAGCACGGTGAACAAATGCCAATCCTCTTCTAAAAATTAAATTTACTTTCTAAGCTTCACAGGGTATTTCTTATGCTAAACTCCCACACAACCAGATCCGGAGCTGCCTGCTAAACTGTGTTCCCTGTATATCCGCTAAGGACAGCATCACAGGTAACCCTAGCTTTTTATCAGGGAGCAGCAATGCATTTGCTCCTCTCTTTCTTATGATTTCAAGGATTTCCAGAATGTGGGAGTAGAACTGAACTTCAAGCAAGGAAGTGACTGAGATGAGGTAAATCACGGCATGATCCTACATCTAAATTTATTCAAAGCATACTCATTTGAAATTGATGAAAGCAAGAATGGCAACAAAACCAGGGTGAGTGGATTTGAAACAGACAGACAGACAGAAAGACAGACAGACAATTCAGGAATATCTGTCGCTCCAGTGTAACACCTACTAAAATGTACAATAGGAAAGAATTAAAAACCATATTGAATACAACACTTCATTTAATCATACTGTGTTTAATGTGGGTTAATGATAGAAGAGGTCTCCCAAACAGCATGTTGCTTCATTTCCCTTTTTTGTCCGTAGGGGACACAACATCATTGGATTTATAGGGACTAGCAGTCAAATTCTCTAACATTAAAATGTGCCACCATCCAATAAATCACACTTCTCCCTTGAGTTGCAAGGATCAAAGCAACTCAGTGTTGGTTATGTACAGACTTACTAAACAAACAAACAAACAAACAAACAAATAGATTGTGATTCTTGCTTCTCCTTTCTGTTCTTCCATACAGCAAACCTGACTCTGGATCCAAACACAGCTTTTCCTCAGCTCTATACATCTGGGGATCTGAAAAGTGTGAAATGGAAAGGCATGAAACAAAGTGTGAAGACCGATACCTTGAGATACGATGTCATGGCCAGTATACTAAGCCAGGAGGGCTTTACCTCAGGGAAAATCTGCTGGGAAGTGGAGGTGGTGGAGGGAGGGCGATGGTGGGGTGTGGGAATTGTTAGGGAGTCTGCTAACAGGAATGGACCCATTTTTCTTGCACCTGCAGGGGGGTACTGGGGTGTACAACGTATTGATGGACAGTATCAGGCCATCACTAACCCTCGGACAAATTTGTCTTTATGCCACCCTCCCACTAGGATCCGTGTTTCTTTGGACTATTCAGAGGGGCTAGTGGCCTTTTTTGATGGGGACACTAAGGTACAACTCTTTGCTTTTCCCAAAACAAAGTTCTCTGGGGAGAGGATCCTGGCTTGGTTTTTGATTGATGGGTGGAATGGTGAACTCATGGTCCATCCATGAGAGAGGATAGATACCATTGTTTCCAGCAACTTTTTCGCATGAATATCCTTCAGGACATCAAACATATAAAGATATGGGTACTGTGAGGGTATCACTCTAGGTTGGCTGCCTATTTAGACAGGGCCAAATGCAAAACCAGCATAAACAATGTGTGGCGTTTTTAAATATGGGCGTGGCTTTTATCCTAGTGGGTTTTCCTATTAGAGCTACGAAGTCACCTCTTTTCAGAACATGGTACTGCATTAGGCTGATGCTTGGCCTTTCAGTTTTTCTGAGAAGAGCTACCTCGCTCCCATATGTGGTCCTATAGAAAGAAATTCCCTTCAGCCAAGGGAATAGCTGAAGGGAATAGCATGGACATTTCGTCCATTTGGACTTCAGAATGTTGGTCTAGTGATGAGATAAACCTTGTTAATACATCTTATGCACTCATAATAATCACATTACACAGACATATTCAAGAGCTTTATTCATTGTTTGGTGTTTATGTCTTGGGGCTGAATCTGGTTGTTTTTCCCAGGCAGTGTAGATTGAATGAATGAACGTCAAGTCAATCCTCATGCGAGTTTCACTGTTCAATAAGTCTCCTTTACCTGGAACTGACAATTTTGGATTTATTATATAATAGCAGCAGTATCGGTGCAGTGACACCCTTTGAAGTGCTTTCCACAAGCTTCCACCAGATCCAGCTGTTTGGCATATCATTTCCATTTCTCATTCCTTTATGCAAGTGCTACATCTTTTGCCTGCTAGTCGTTCAATACCTCAAATATTTTTTTCAAAATTACAATGTGATGTACAATTTTAAAATGAGGTTTTGATACTTCAATAAAGATGTAATGTGTCTCACACAGGCTAATCACTTTCATTTTATATTAAATATTATGCATTTTTCACCATAGTCTTTCGAGACTGAAGGATGCCTAATGAATGAATGAATATGCAAGCTAGACAACATAGAATCATAGACTAATGGAGTTGGGAGGGGCCTACATCCATTTAAGATAAAATGCCTGGATGTAAGCCTTCACATTTCAGCTAAAAGACAGTAAAATGGACTCATCTATTCTTCTCTGCTCTCATTAATTCAGCACACAACCATGCACATCTTGTCGCCACACAGCTCTGTCCTTCTGTTCTTATCAGGGGGCTAGAATCTAACTGTGAACCTAGACTTCTAGTGGGTAACTCAGAATTACTATGTACATATATATAACCGAGGCTGTTGTACTTTGGCTACATCATGAGAAGACAAGACTTGCTGGAAAAGATAATAATGCTAGGAAAATAAGAAGGCAGTAGGAAAAGAGGAAGACCTGATGTGAGATGTGTTGACTCAATAAAGGAAGCCACAAGACCTGAGCAGGCGTGCAAACGATGGGACCTTTTGGAGATGATCAGTTCATAGGAATGCTATAACTCAGGTTCAGCCTGATGGCTGGACAACAACAATTTGTAGGCAGCCCACCTCCTTCAGTCAAAAGCCCAAAACCAGACATTTCCATGAACTGGCATATAGTTTTCCTCTTAACTTTTAACTTGGAAGGCATTCAACATTTTTCAGTGCATAGCAAAAAGACTTCACTGTGCATCTTTTAATGAAATAGCGCCATCAAGTGATTATGGGGTGGTGATTCATCCTTTGTCCTTCTGGGAACAGCTGTCCCATGGTAGTGCTAGCTTCCTGGTATTCCTAGTATAGTATCTTAAATCAAAGTCTCTGCTTTGTGATGGTATCCAATCAGCATACAGTCCTTTCTTCGCAAGTTCACACCCAACTTGTAACTTTACACAAAAGCGATTGCAAAACGATGCTTCCTATGGAGGAATTTCGCTTTGCGATGTTCGGTTCCCTGCTTCAGGAACCAATTCTCACAAAGCGATGATTTTCGGCCAGCTGATCAGCGGTTTCAAAATGGCCGCCGGGTAAAAAAAACATGGCTCCCCGCTCTTTTCTGGAACGGATTCTTCACTGCACAGGTAGGAAAAATGGCTGCGCTATGGAGGATCTTCGCTGAACGGTGAGTTTCAAGCCCCTAGGAATGCATTAATCGGGTTTTAATGCGTTTCTATGGGCTTTTTAATTTTGCATTACGACGTTTTCGTAAGACAGCGATTTCGCTGGAACGAATTAACATCGTAATGCGAGGCAACTTTTTTTAAATCAGAATTCCTTACTTTATGGGTATAGAAAAACAAACAAAAAGTCTTCTGAGAGGGCTCAAGCATTATTGCCCTTCCTCCAGCACCTGATAATATTGGCTTCCCTCTTCTGTGCTTTTTCCATGGCATGCAAAGTGTTTTTTAGTTCTGGGAACCAGAACGGCAGCTGGATAGATAGGTCAGCGAATTAAGTAGCTGGCTGTGGAGTTAGAGGTTGGGAGTTCAATTCCCCACTGTGCCTCCAAAGAGAAGAGCCCGCCTGTGTGACTTTGGGTAAGCTGCCCCAGTCTCATGTGCTGACAGAAGAAGGGAATAGAAAACCACTTCTGTGTATTCTTTATCTAGAAAAACCTTGGAAAGGGTAACTCCAAGTCAAAATTGATTTGACAGCATAGAATTACTATATTATTATAATGGTAATACATCTGTTGGTATAGAATAGAGATGGGGGTATATGCATAGGTATTTGTTTTGTTAGTTAGGCATCCTTCAGTCTCGAAAGACTATGATAACGTGCTCTGTATGGAGGACTTGGAACAGTGTCTAGTGTGGCTGAGAAGGCCAATTCGAGAGTGACAATCCCTTCCACAGTGAAGACAAATCCAATCTGTCCCCTGTCCAGCTCCCTGGTTTTGTTGCTTTCGTAACTGCCTCTTTGCCTCAGCCTGGACAAGGGTCTCTTCAAATTGGGAGAGGCCGTGATGCACCGCCTGCCTCCAGGCTGAACGCTCAGATGTCAAGGTTTCCCATCTGTTGAGGTCCATTCCTAAGGCCCTCAGATCCCGTTTGCAGATATCCTTGTATCCCAGCTGTGGTCTCCCTCTGGGGCGATTTCCCTGCACTAATTCTCCATACAGGAGACCCTTTGGAATCCAACCCTCAGCCATTCTCATGACGTGCCCGAGCCAACATTGACGTCGCTGTTTCAGTAATGTGTTCATGCTAAAAATTCCAGTTCATTCTAGGACTACTCTATTTGGGACTTTGTCCTGCCGGGTGATACCAAAAATGCATTGGAGGCAACACATACGGAACATATTCAGCTTACTCTCCTGCGGTGCACAAAGGGTCCAGGCCTCACTGCAGTACAGAAGTGTGCTCAGGACACAGGCTCTATAGACCTGAATCTTGGTATATGCCGTCAGCTTCTTATTGAGCCATATTCTCTTTGTGAGTCTAGAGAACATGGTAGCTGCTTTCCCAATGCGTTTATCCAGCTCGACATCTAGAGTGTCAGAGATTGTTGATCCAAGGTACACAAAGTTAGAAGATTTATAGGAGACTGAGTCTCCCTGCAGGGATGCAGGGTGGCTAGATAACACTGTTGATCCATAAATTAATAAGTCTGAAGTTGGAACAGGAAGGGAGAATACAGAGCACTGGGGGGAAAAAAAAGGCTCAAAGTCTTGGGGTCCCCTTTTCTGATTTCCCGGAAACCCCGTGTGGTGCAGCGGACAGAATGACGGGCTAGGACTCTGGAGAACAGGGGTTCAAATCCTCACTTGGCCATGGAAACTTACTGGAGCAGTAGAACTGGTAAAACGACTCATTCAGTATCTCACTTACTTTGAAAGCCCCATGACGAGGGTCTGACTTGAATGGCACACTCAAAACACAAGCACCCCAAGAAAAAGACCGAAAAGGATACATTAAAATGAGACAAGCCCTCCTTAAAAGAGACCAAAGGTCTTTAATAAATGGACCAGAAGCACCGCACACAGCCTTAACGCACCCTCCCACCCGAACAGCCCTCCCGGAAAGAGAAAGCAGAAAATCATCTTCAGCATCTTCGTCGCCCCCGCCGCCGTCTCTAGGTTGGCGTTGGGTTCCCTCCAGTCGCCGCCCCCCCCCCAGCTTCGCCTTTATTTTTTTTTTTTTATTTTTTTTTTTGTTTATATCCCGCCTATCTGGTCGGGTCAGGACCCCTCTAGGCGGCTAGGACCACACTTCCGGCGACCCTCTGAGCGAGCCGCCTCCGAGGCCCTCTTTCCACAAGCTGAAGCGCTGGCGGGGCGGCGGGGGCGCGCAATCCGCGCCCACTCAGGTGGGTTTTTCAGCTCTCCTTGCGCGCGGGCCCCCCGTGTTTTGCTTCCGAGGGCAGCGCCCTTCGCTTGGTTTGCTGTGCAATGGGGTTGGCTTGGAGCCTCCTGGCGGGGCTCTTGTGGGTAGGCGGGCGGGTGTGTGGTTGTGCCCAGGGCGTTCAGACCCGGAGCCCCCTCCCTGGCTGATACATTCAGAGCCTCCCCACCCCTTACGTCTCGCAGCTGTCTCTTTTGCCTGAGCGCTCCGAGGAGCGAGGGAGGGAGCTCCGAGACTAGGATGGGCACGGTATGATTTGGGGGCGCCTGCTTGGGGGAACGGGGGGGGGGCGAAGCTCCAGGGACGGGGCCTCTTTGGGTTTGGGGTCATGTCTATGGGCCCCTCGCTGCCCCCCTACCTGCGAGTTGGGCGTGATATTGAGCCAGAGGAGGCAGTGGGAGGGGATCGGCGCAGTTTAGCTTTCCATCCGGATGGTATTAAGAGCGCAACATCCATGATGCTTTCTGGGCCGGTGGGAGATGGGGGTCTGGCAACCTGGGTCGGTGGGGTGGGGGTGCTCTTAGCCCTCTCCGTTGAGTTGCAGGGGAACCCAGGACAGAGCAGATCATAAGCTTCGAATAATAGCACTCTTTGGACTTTAAGAATAGCAGTCTTCGGATAATAACACTCTTTGAACTGCAGTAACATACAGTGTGTTGCCGGACGCATCTGCAAAGTGACTCGGCTCCATGCTGCTCAAATGAGGTTATTATAATGTGACTTGGAGTCAGTTCTGATTTATAGTAACTCGATGGACTGAGGACTCCCAAAAGGTCTCGGCATTCACATCTCCGCTCAGGCTGTGGTTTCTTTCTTAAGTCAATCCATCTCGTGTCTGGTCTTCCTTTTCCTACTGTCTTCTGCTTTTTCTAGCTTTATTGTCTTTTCTAGTGCATGGTAATGCTTTCTCACTTGCCTGGGAGTGACATTTTATGTACAGAGGCTGCTGGCAAAACCTCTTACCTGCTACTAATGTTCCTGAGCTCAAAATCTTAATCCTCAGTGTATGCCTTTTGTGTCTGGCTGTGATGGACAGACTTCCGGGTTCAAGAAAACAATAGTGTAAATCTTGCACACCTGACACCTGCTGAGCTTCCTGTATGGAAGTAATGGGCAGGTTCCCTCCCTTATGTGGACCCAAGACCATTTAGATAATGGGTACAGGGCCCGTCTGGGACAGGCACATCCCACCCCTCCTCTCCAATCCCCTGAAAGCAACCTTGACTGATACTAAGCCAGCTTCTGGAAATGCAGGAAAGGAATTCCCCAGTATTTCCAATGAGTGAAATTCTCTTTTTTTCCTCTTTTTTAATTTTTTTTTTTTAGCAGATAGCAGACAATGGGTTTTTCTGTTTGGACTGCCACTACTGCTGTTGAAGGGGGAACAGGTAAAGGAGGAGGCCCACAAGGAACTGATCAAAGGTATGTGGTTGCTGCCAGTTATCTGCCCATACCACCTCTTACCCATCCATTGGCCCAAGAGGGAAGTACAGTATTGGGGTATTTTGGTTATTCTATTTAGTGAGCAGAGTATGAGGTAGAAAAAAACAACAATACAGAAATATAAAGAGATCAGCTGAATCTCATCAGCTGTTCTGCTTTTTTTTTTACATGATAAAATTACTCTAGAAGTATTTAAAGGAGAAAAAATGTATCTTTACTTACAGTTGCCATGTGTAGTTACAATAAGGAAAAAGAAAAAGGAGAAATTGAGTTTCCATTCTTGTTCCTAAGAGGAAGGTCAGAAAGAGAAGATTATCAACAGCAAAACTATGGAAGCAAACAAACAAACAAACAAACAGGAAGGGGATGGAGCATGCTTCAAATGCCAGAAGTGGAAAAAGAACTTTACCAATCAAGTTAGTGGCAAAGGACAATCACATTAGGCCATAAAAGTCCCCCCCCACTGATACCGAACGTTAATGCATCAAAGATTGCTATTATCCCAACATACCTGCATACTATGGACGTGGTGGCGCTGCGGGCTAAACCGCAGAAGCCTGTGCTGCAGGGTCAGAAGACCAAGCAGTCGTAAGATCAAATCCACGCGACGGAGTGAGCGCCCGTCGCTTGTCCCAGCTCCCGCCAACCTAGCGGTT